ATTTTTGTTAAACTGAAGCAAGGATTGTAATTTTCTATCTTCGAGGTCTGTGTAAACGAAACAGGTAATAATGGGAGTAAAGAAAGGCCAGACCTAGACCTCATATGAGTATTTGAAGTTATTCACTGTTGGTTTGATTGCCGATTGTTGGTATGATCGCTAGAACAGGTGGTGCTACTCAAAATCCATCTTAGTAACGCAGAGGCACCTTTATCCCGTGTTATAGTATGACTTATCTTTGTTTGCTTCACCTTTTCCTTTCTCTGTCTTAAAGCGTTTTTCAATCTTCTATTATATCATTATTCTGCTTTTAGATATTCATCGTGGTATTATCATAATATTTGAAATCCCACTCAATACATTTAGATTTCAGGTTTTTTTTTTAAATATTTTTTTCTGTCTTCCCAAATAATCCGTGCAACCCTTTCCCACACTTTTTTATAGGTATGGTGACACGTCCCGTAAAGCAGACTGAATTCTTACCTCCTTTATCCATTAATGACCTACCGCTAAGTTTGGAATGTGGACGAACTCAAGTATCCGAGGAGTTGCCGAGCTGGGCTGATGCAGCATTTCCTAGTCCGTTTATGTGGTCATTTTGTGATGTAGACAGTCCTGATGGTATACAGTCTGCTGGGTGTATGCGTAGAGTTCGACAGACATCTATTCATGTTTCAAATTATTTTGATAGCTATATTTTTCCAAACGGTATGTTTTATGCATTCTTACAGCAATTTTTTAATACTGCTTAGATTGATTATTCATTGTCATATTCGATGCTGTATATCATTTTCCGAAGTCTAGTTACTTTTGACGATAGCCCAGTACAATTAATTATGTTGCTATGTATAGACTCTATCGTCTGTTAATTCTCCGTCACCGAAGCCCTTCTCTTAATGAGAGCAAATAAAACAGGTATCAGATCTAGGAGTCTTCAGGACATCTCTCACTAAAAAAATTTTGAGAAATTACTTTGAAGCTGAAGTTAAACCTTCACAGAAGAGTACTGTTAAGTGGCGATGGATCTCATTCTGTTTTTTCTCATCGGTTAAGTAATTAAGGAATAAATGGTGTCAAATTTCCATTGTAATCCAGCTGTAAAATACCTTCCAGTGGGTAGTATTTTTCTTTTCTCTGTAATACTTCCTGATTTATAAATGTTGAAACTACTAAGTGTATAAATGTGGCATGTTCTACTGATAAGATTTGTCAGTAGTACATATATAGCGATGTTCATCAGCATAAAAATATTAAATAGCGGAGAGATAGATTTGACGTCAAAAAAGAAAGCAAATGAACCAGCGTTGCAACAAAACATGGGAGACACGAAAAGAAGATAAAGAAACACAATATGGAGGGCAGAAGTAGCACAACACGGACAATCTGTATAAATGATGATTTGGAGATAAGCTGAACACAGTTTCGCTATATAGAGACATCAAATTCCCCCCCAAAAAACATTCCATTACCCAAGCCTCTTGTCTTCTCTCGTTAAATAGATCCTGTTATTTATCAAAGAATGTTTGCAATCAAAATAACAATGATTATAGTAACTGCCAATGTCTGCATAATAGGATAATGATGATAAATCGTTAGCAGCTAAAAAAATCTGATGTGCACTCTGTCCAATCACAAAACTTTATCCTTCTCTTAATAAACTATCCTCTTCTCATTTGAAAAATCATTGATTATCTGAAAATAAAGAATCGTGAAACATTGAACCAAGACCAACAACTGGAGTAGATTTCCAAGATATTAAATTTAAAATTGCTGATGAAATTTTTGTAAAATAAAATTGTGAAGACGATCAAGTAACGTTTAGGAAGGCTTCGTGTGCTTTTGGAAGTGTGTGGGCGGTTGTTACTTCCCGGCTGCCCACACCGTGGAAGTTGATTGATTCTTCGGGAACCTGAAACAGAAAGTGTCCCTTGACCGCAGAGCCCAGGGGACAACTTCTTGAGGCCAGTCACACGCGGCCTGTTTTTGTTTGTTCTTTTTTGTTTGGTGTGTCTCAGCAGCATATTTATCACTTCTGCCCTGTGAAACAGCAGCAGGAACCGCGGTCGGTGTTAATCCGGGGCCCGACCGATCCGGCATGATATTTTGTGAATTTGTTTGAGTCATAGTATTGGATTGGGTAGCTGCTTTTTGTCTAACCGCTATCCAAACAACCTTCCTGGCATGGTAGGACCTGCAGTAACATAAGTTCCAGCCAGTGTAGCTCGTTGGGTCATTGCGATATGCGAGCCCGCCCACCACGTCAAGGTAGCAGCTATCGGTCGGGAAGTAACGTTTAACAACTTATGATTTAGGAAAGCTCAATTGTTTTTTGTGTTTTATTAACATGTTGCTTACAATTTTCCCCTTTAAGGCACACTTGTTTTATACAAACGAACAACTTCATCTTGGAGAGATATGGGTTTGGTGTGCTGGAGTCATCTGGATTCCTCGGTTGTCTTCTCAACGTATTTTGGTGGTTCTTTTGAGCGACCGAGATTGTTGACATACGATTCCAACATACCATTTGTTGGTTATGGCATAACTGTCTTATCTCCACTAAAACAGGAAGTCACTGTTCGTAAAGGTCCGGTAAGTTCATGGTTTACATGGTTCTCCTGTCTGTATGTGTCCTTATTTCAATCTTTTACTGTAAACTATGGAAAGCAGCGTTGTTCATTGATTTTCCAATAGTTACCAGTAAGTAATGTTCCAAGATTATCTTACCTTGCTTATCAGGATACACACTTCACCTTCTGCAAACACATCACTTAGTTTTTTCTTTCTTTGTATTCAAACATTCATCAGATTTAATTGGGGGGTGGTGACTAGCAGTGGAATCCAGGACGCGCATTTCTTCCTATATGGGACTCGTCAGCTGGATGTACCTGATGATGATGTGCCCACCGAGGCTCGAACCAAGTGCCCATAGTTTCAAACGCCAAAGCGTTATCCACTAGACCACTTGAGCCACGAGAGCCACCTCTTGTGCAACGGGTCATATTGATTTAATTGAATTTTAGATTTTCCCGTCGATTGATTGGATCGAAGTGTTCGGTCTCAGGTTGACATGTCGGCTTCTTGAGCAGATGCTTCGACGATGTCTGGGCATTTAATTAGTATTTAATTGGTGGAGCCTCGATGGGAATATCACTCACTGAGAAATGCAGGTACATCCAGGTGACGAGTCCCAAATAGGATGAAATGTGCATCCTGGATTCCACTGCTAGTCACCATCCACCAATTAAATACTAATTAAATACCCAGACATCGTCGAAGCATCTGCTCAAGAAGTCGACATGTCAACCTGAGACCGAACACTTCGGTCCAATCAATTTTCGGGAAAATCTGAAATTCAATTAAATTCATCAGATTTCGTCTTCGTATTGCTTCTTCTGACTAAACTTTATTCAGATTTGAAGAATGTGAAACTAATTCGGTTGGGGAATATTATGTGTCATCCATTCCATGAAGGGGCTTATAAGAATAAATGCCCTGATTAATAGTTAGACTTATCGCTTTATAGTTGAATGTATACACTAGAGTCCAGCCACATCTCTATCCATATACTCACCTAACTTATTAGCCGATAAAAGTACAAATCAACCTATAAACTCTATACCGTCCTCTGTAGTCGACACTATCATCACTCTTATATGAAGAAATTAAAACTGTTGTATGTAAGTCATAAGTTTTAGCTCTTATACTGAATTTTCTAGTGATTTTTTGAAGAAACGTTTAGTTTTATTATTTTTTTTGTGTGTGTGTTTGCTAAAAGTCAAATTCCAAATTGTGTTGCTTCTAAATTTTAGCGCACCGGTCTCAAATTAGTCACCAAGTACAAATCAAATCCTGAAACGACTTCTGTCAAATGGACTAAAGATGGCAGACGAATTCCATCGGATTTTCCTGGACACACTGATTATGTTCTAAAGTTTCCCGATCTTATTCACCGAAACCACTCTGGTATGTTGCTCATTCTTTGTGTGAAAATTTACAGTTGATTTTGCTTTCTACCTACCTGATATTTATGCCAGCCGCTTGAATTGTCTAAAACAATTTAGATATCTTAAGTTATACTTTTTTGGTGTATTTTTAATACCATACACCTCAATGAGCTTCAATAACTGAAATAGGATTAATATATGTGTTAAACTTGGACACTGTAGTAGTAAGTAATTCCATATTAGTTTGTTTATTAGATGTATCACACAGTGAAACAGTATTGTTGTTCGTAATCATATCAATTGTAATCACACGACTTCGAAACTTGCGTTTTATAGTTTTCTTTGTCTTCTCCTATTTGTCGTAAGGGTAGTAGAGTTTTCCAGATATCTGGGACAGGTCTTGAATCATTCCTATTACATGTATTTGCAGTTGATTCGATACACAAAGCTTCTGTTTTCAATCTCTCCCTACACCCTGTAACAGATTTGAAAACTTTCATCCTGTCCCATCCTATTGTATGGTTGTGTGTAACTGTATGTAGTGCTATAGCTGAACTATTCTCTAGATTCCTTATCTTATTCGGGTCAACCAATCTAGATTTTGCTAAGTTTTTATGTTCAGCTAGTCTGACTACCTCTGTTCTACTACTCTGACCTATGTATTTGGCCTGACAATCATTCCAGGCAAGGTGTTAAGTAAACTAAGTTGTTTTGTTTTATAGGTTCCACAGGATCCTTTAACTGACAAGGCTTGTTTCTAATTGAGTTTGTGGGTTTGAATGCCAGCCACTTCTATTCCTGCCTTGTTAAGAATTTTGCGTAAGGATTCCGAGCTTCCTTCTTTGTATGGAATTACTACTGATGATTTAGATTCCTAATTGTTGGTGTCGTCATTAATATTATAATAATTATTATCATTATTATTATCCTTATTATTGTCATCATTATTATTATTATTATTATCACTATCGCTACTATCATTATTTATTTTATTTTTACATTTCCTTACATATTTCCTGACTAATTTATCCGGGTAATTATTAAGTTTCAAGGCTTCTTTTATGTGTATCACTTCCTGTCTTAGATTTTCCTTGATACTACTTAGTTTTTGTTCTATGTCACTTAAACATTTCACCAATCCTATTTTTACTGATATAGGATGGGATGATTGGAAGTTCAAAGATCTGTTTGAATGTGTGGGTTTCCTGTGAATGCTAGTGTTTAACTTCCTATCTTGTTTCCTTTTTACGTTGCAATCTAACATTGGAAGCTCCCCTTCCTGACTTTCCAATTCGTAATTGAATTGAATTGCTTCAACCTTCGAGTTGATGTGTTCGAAAAATCTATCTATATCCTGTGTTCTCAGTACAGTGAATGTGTCATCTACATACCTCCACCATACTGTTGGGGTGTGGTTGAACGTTTCAATCGCTATGTTTTCCCACCTATCCATGAATATATCTGCTACAACTGGGGATATTGGTTATCCCATGGCAACTCCTTCAGTTTGTTTGTATATTTTCCGTTGGAATTTCAATACTGTGGAAGTCAGGCATAGCTGTACTCCCAGCATTATGTCCTCAAGTGGCACTTTTGTCCTAAGTTCGAGTTCTTGGTCAGAAATGAGTTCTTTTCTGACTGCCTCGATAGCCATATTTATTGGTACACGTGGATTAAATAGTAAAAGAGTTAGCGGTAGTAAAGCCAGAAGTTGGCATCAATCTGTGAAGTCGTTTGGCTGATAGTCTGAGCCACATTGGGACGCAGACTGTTTGGAAACTCTGAGATATGGCGTAAAATCATTTACAATGGTGCAGGTAAACTAACTTCTTATCATCCTTCAGATTTCACAAATGTTCAGTTATCTTCATTTAACCACCGTTTCTCCTGTATATCTCCGGTCATTGTAATTTCATGTTATTTCTTCCATACCTCCACTATTGTATGCTTAGCTGGGTCCACTATTGCCTACAGTTTCTCGTCTCCTCGTACGATCCCAACCATATTACCCTCAGACTCCCCACTCGGATTCAACTCGAGTGATATCATTTGACGGTCTCCTCAGCATGTTCCCGATCCATCTTCATTCTCTTCGGAATTTTTGTTGAGCAATAGGTCCTTGATTGGTTCGTCCCTCAAATTTCTCATTGCCAATTCTTTCTGGCCGGCTATCTGATCTTCAGTAGGTAGCAAAGGTGGCAGCTATTGACAAAGGTCTGTAGTCGCTTGTTGGGGAAATGCTCTCCGAGATGCGCCAAGTTTCTGATCCATATAGAAGAACTAACTTGTCATTCATTGGTGTTGCAAATCCTAGTTTTGTTCTTTCATGGTGGTCTTACTACTCCTTGAAATTGTACTGTTCCATGTAATGATGATGTTTTAAGTTGTAGAAAAATATGTGTATATTATATTTTAAATAGTAATTAGAATTCATGCCTCACTTTCTAGTCTGTCAATAAATAAATAAATAAATCATCCGCACTTCTCAGCAGGAATATGCTAACAGTAGAAACCACGGTGATTTAGTCTCATTTGAGTTAACCTTATTTTTTTTCTAATGAATAGTGTACATTTATTCATGTATTTTATGTTGCTCATTTTTCAGTTAGTTTTTTCACGTACCATATTCTTACGCCCTACCATATGTTTATTTGACTTCTTTATGTATTTGCATATTTTTCGTATCCAACTCAAATGTTTCACTATTTTCTTTCTCACTGTACATGCACTTGTATGTTAGTTTTGCATTTCATCTAATAATATGTATATCTGTGGATAATGTGTTAGCGCTAAACTTAACGTTTGCATATTTCAGTAGGAGAATTTTTACATCTATGTGCGTATCTGTATGTCTCCAGTCTCACAAATATATTTTAGTCAAACCAGTTCCTCGGCTTTCATCTCTCTCGCCCTATCTCCCTCTGTCTCCATCGATCCAGCGATTATATATCCCGATTCTCTTTTATACTGAAATTGATTTCTCTATTGACTTGAAAAGCTGACTACTGTTATTTTTCAGATAAACAATATTTATTGTGCTATTTTTGTTGTTGCATTTGACAATTCTGAGTTTTTATTGTTTTTTTTTATTGCTTTATTTTTCTCTTCATTGTCACCAGGAACGTATAATTTACTTGTGGAAAATGGAAATGAACGAGTCAATTTTCAATTTATAGTTAATGTTGTCGGCCCACCTGAAGTGATACATGCACCCCCACCGCTAGTTTTAGTCATGGAAGGCGAGAATGTCACTTTCAGTTGCCAATTGGATTCATTTATAACAGAGGTAGGTTTCCTATTGGGTTTTACATATTTATTGCTTGTTTTTTTTAAAAAAAATTTGGCAACATGACGGATTTTTTAACATCACACACTGAAGTTTAAGATGCATATGAAAAAATGCGAAAAATGTAAAAAATCAAAATTATCGTAGTCAGTGGTTATTCAACTTTTTGTGAATTCATTTCGTCTCTTTACATATTTTTCTTTTTGTAACGGTTTTGAGAATGGTAATTGATTGATTTCAAGTGTTGATTCGCAGGGATTCGATTGATCACAGGTATTATCACGAGTTAATATCAGTTAGATAACCATTGGGAAACCAGGGAGTGGTGGGCAAATGTCGTATCCTAGTTTGGGGCTCTTCATCAGTGCGCATCTACTGGGATTCGCACCCAGGACTCTCCTCTTACAAGGCGGGCTACATTAGTGACCCCGATACAATGGTCCATGAGTTCCACCTCCGGCCGGTTCGAGTCCCAGTGATTGAATGATCTGCGACGTCGCCTTGTAACCTAAAGACCCTGGGTCCCCACCCTAGAGAGTGAGCGCTGATGAGGGAGCCTAAATTGCAACGAAACAACTCTTCAATAATTGTTTCTCTTGTCACTAGAAGTAACCAGTAATTTAGAACCACCCAGGAAACAATTCTCTGGAAAAACGAGATATAACGTCACCTAGCAACTATTTGCGATTCCATGTAGTTGGCAACGGGCCACACCTAATGTGTATGGACTATTAAAACTACCTTTCTGCCTAAACTCCAGTAGTAGGAACATGGTCTAGACCAATTAACCACAGTTTTACATCTCTATTTCTACGTGAGATGGGTTTTTCAGCGTAGAAGTCTGAAATTATTGCTCTGATGTAATTTTATTGCTAGTATTATCGTACTATTTATAGTCGATCTTCGAAGAAGTAATTGTACTGATCGAAAGGAATATTTCTATATTTAAAAAATGTATTAGCCTTTATTAAATGTTTCGTAAATATAACAGACTAAACTATCGGTAAATAGTCCCGGTGACCAAAGCGATTTTACCCAAAAGGAAGGTCGTTTTACAAGTATTAGTGAAGAGACTATTCCTTGGTCTTGTTTGCGATTTGTTGTCTCAGCAAACTGAAAAGTAGTAACGATCAGAAATCATGTAGCTTGTAATAATGTATCATTATAATTAGGAAAAGGTACACGTTTGTCTAGTCCATGCATGCTCTATGAATTACCTACCTCGACTGCTAAGAACAAATTATTGTTTTATTTAATTGAATTTCAGATTTTCCCGTCGATTGATTGGACCGAAGTGCTCGGTCTCAGGTTGACATGTCGGCCTCTTGTGCAGATGCATGTAATTAGAAATTAATTGGTGGATGGTAATGGGCACTGGGTTTGAGCCTCGGTGGGAACATCATCACTCACTGACTGGGGAATACAGGCACATCCAGATGACGAGTCCTAAATGGGACGAAATTCTCATCCTAGATTCCACTGCTAGTCACCATCCACCAATTAAATTGAAATTGTTGTTTTGTTTGGTCCATAAAGGGACTATCGTATCCACTAAACTTTGTTTGTGAGTTATTAGTAATTCAATTTTCTTATCCTATTTTGAAAATAATTTTTACTACAAGGCTTTGTAACTTCAGTAGCATTTGCACTGCAGTCTTTATTGATTCGGTTATTGTTAGTATAAGAAATCAGGTGGTGCATCCATCATCCGACTGTCATTCAACAAATATCATACAACTGGATTATGTCACTAGTACTATTTATTTTTTTAATTTACTGGAATTTTTTAAATTTTCATTTCATACATTTCCAACTTTTGTCTATATATCTTGTGAAATGATATCATTTTTTAAATTGCTATCAACAAAACTTTCCTTTAATTTTGTAATTTTCTGTTACCTAGTCTTTAGAAATTAACGGATTAACTTACCAACCGAATCCTACAAACTTCCGTACTGAGCTAAGAGATCAATATCCCTACTTAAAAGATGCTTTAATTCAACCACTACAAAGAAACGGTCATATTCTAACCTATTCGGCTAGTAATTTATTCTTCACACCGGGTAGTAAAGTTGGACCAACTCATACTGTTAGCTTGGTTGGAAGAAATGAATATGGGCTAGCTCGTGTCTCTACTGTTGTCAGAGTACTTCGTAAGACCTTTATTTATTAGTCTATATTTGTGTTTATATGCTCTTCATTTGTGTGTTCATTATTGTTTGGAAAGGGGATGTCTGAAGTTGACATGAGTAAAAATCAGTTCACCAAACATTTATCCTGAGAAAAGGTCAGTCTATTGTAAAAACAACGGTGAAAGTTAGTAGATGCTAGTGAAACTTGTCGGCGTGGTTTATGGTGAATTGTCAGCACAGGTGTAGAATTCTCGTTCGGTATTTTGTATCTTTGACTGTGGCGTGTTTTATCTGGCTGTCTATTAAAGAACGTCTGTATTGTACAGCAGGTCTCTTCGTCCTGCTGTACGATTGTGAAACAAAGCCACTTAAAACAATATACAAGGTGCCTTCGTTCTTTTATTCACGTTAGTTTGAGCAACAGTATAAGTAGCAACCGGGTCAATGATAGATAGAGTGTTAGGAAGGGTTATTCAACTTATGTGATTGTGGGACATCATGCACCAATCTGGCGAGAACACTGGTCTTGCTCGATGAGTAATGTTACCTGAAATTGGTTTGGGTTATGAGATAGTTGGTGGTAGCAAGACTACTGACATCTGGTGCTATCCAGGTAGAGTAGTGTAGACTACTTGGCTGGGATCATCGAAACGTGGTTTTCATCTAAGAAATCAGTATAGTGTGTAATTAATTAAATACTAATGCAAAGATACCCTATGAATACTGAATTTTAATAAAATTTAAATGTGTTAAAACTTGGATCTTATGTGAATAATCATTGTCATCCAAAGGGCGGTTCAGTATAATTAGGCAACTCTGGTCAAAAATGTCCACTTTTAGAGTAGAATATGCACACTTACTGTTAAGAATCGGAGTTAAACTATATTTACATGTACAGCCAACTCTTAAGGTCAACAATATACATTTCCTTAAGACTTATAATAGGAACATCATGTCAGTAAAGTTTCGTTATCTGGGAACTAAAAATGCTATTTTGAAGCCAGTACTATTGAGATACATTTGTCAAAACGCCTATAGAAGTTATAACTTAAATGAATTTAGGCACTTTTCCCACTTGCTGCTTTTCTATCTAATAATGCATCATTATTTGAATGGAATCGTTTGTCTACTAGACTGATCTCTGAAGATTTAGTCACGTGTTTGAAACGTCGCTTCACCTAACCCCGGGATTGACCAGTCAGGTAGTATCATCAGCTGTGGTTATCTTATGTCTGCTATGTATGTTCCCTTGTACACTGACCTGTGTATGTTTAACAAGTTACAAAATATGCCTCACGGGATCTTGGAAGTGGCTAATAATGTGATTAATGCTGCATGCTAAATCCTCGTAGAAAAAATAGTTTTTAGTCAAAATTAAGTTGGATTTTTTTTGTAAAATATACATTCAAATTTTCCTTTTTGTTTTGTTTCTAAATTTGTTCCTTTATTTTTCTTCTTTTAGCTCGATTGAACATTTTAAAAGCTCCAAAGGATTACT